TAAGGTCTTTCAGACCCACATCTCCCACTCTCCAGGAACAGGGAGTCCTGGGCTTTTGGGACAAACTTGGATCTTTGTCCAAATTATTGTTTCATGTAAAAAACACAAATAGTCCAGGGATTGGGGACTGGAACCCTGTACTGCTCCCTCCCGGCTGATCCTGCTAACCATTGGACTGCAGTAAAACTCCTCTTGGCCCCTTAAAACTTGCATTCTTGGCAGCACAGTGTCCACAGAAAGTGGATTCTAGTTACAACCTTCTAGGAGGTAAGGAATGTGGTTTTGGCCACTCTCAGATCAACAAAGGGCAAGAACTACAGTGCTGTTCTGCCTAATCAAGTGCCCTGACCACCACTAGGGAATCACAGAAGGCAGGTTTCTCTTCCACCAGCTGTAGTTGTGACTATGTGTGGCTGTGGTCACTGCATTTTGTGCTGAATTTGATGTTGTAAGTGTACACAGAGCAGGTTTAAGGCACATTTGCTGTACCAGGCCCCTGTTGGGAGTTATGCACTTTGTTTCTGGAGCCCAGCTGGCTCTAGATGGGAAATAGGCATCTGGCTGCTTCGACTGGCAGGACAGCAGGTGCTTGTGGAACTTACAGGCCAGCAAGCTGCTCAGGAGGTTTACAGGCTGCTGAAGAGAATCATAATATTGGGCTTAGACTCCTAGGCTAAGTGCACACAGTCAAAAAGCCCACAGCTGAATTGATTCAGTCTTTGCAGGTTAGTCTAAAATGCAGAGATTAAATTGAAATGGAAGTGAACAGACATTTACCTTTGATTCAGCAAATGCGCCCACATGCCTGCAATGGCTCAGGCCAGAAGCTGGGGGAACACTAAAGCACAGCTCGCTGGCATATGGCCAACATGGGCTGTGTATTCACTTCCTCTTCCTGCTGCCCCCAAGGTCTCTGGGATTTGCAGTCCAAAATCACAGCAGCAGGACTCTGTGGGGTTGCTCATCACTTCCTTTTCTTGCTTCCTGGTTCCTCTGGGATTTGTAGTCCACAGTCGCAGCCAGCAGTAAGTTTGAACAGGGGAAGGTCTGTTTAACCCCCCTCCCTGGCCCTAGACCTCAGCCGGAGTTTGCTTGGCAGGCAGTCCTTCCCTTTGCCCCCCCCAGACTGGGCTGCCTCCCCAGCCAGGCTTGTCCCACCCCGCTTTGTCAGCCAGCACTCACTGCTCCAGCTAGGGAGCAGAGGGGCATAGCCAACACTACTGTCATGAGCAGACAGCACAGCCCAACCCAGGGCTGCAAAACATGCTAGGGGACTATGATTTAACTTGAACCAGGAAGGGGGTCTGGGACAGAAGTTCCATAAACCAGTTTGGCCCAAAGCTGTGAAGTCTGATACTACATTCAACCAGGTTTATCTTAAACCAATTTCAGCCATTTTGAAACTGGTTTATGTGCACTGAGCTTTTTTTCTGTTACAGGTTTAAAGCAGTTTCTGATAACTTAAACCAGTTTATGTGTAACCTCTGCCCCTGGCCCTAAAGTCCACCTTGGGAAGAAAAACCCGTAGCATCCTTATAGGCTCGGCAGTGCTATGTTGGCTAGAGCAGCCACCACCTTCATTCACAGACAATGACTACTACACTGTTATAATATGCTGCAGTATTAACCCAGTAAACAGCAGCTTGAAAATTTCTCTCTGCTGGAAAAGATTCATCCCTACTATGCAGTTGGTCCAATAAAAGACAACACTCACAAAAATCCTTGCCACTCACATAAAGTCTTACTCTACAATGACAGAAAATCAAAGGACAGACCAAAAAAGGTACCTACAAATCAGGTGTTTCAGTGCTCAAATGTTTGGTATCTGTTACCCAGACGAAAAGCAGAGTTAAGGGTTTCCCACGACTTCCTATGCTGGGAGACTTAGGCATCTTAAAAAGGTGACAGAGAAAACCCACATGCTGAGCACTGTACCACCACAAGGTAGCCAATGGGAAAATGCTAACTCCTGCTCTGGGGAGCTTAATAATAGTTTGAGGCAGGGCTCCAAGGGAGGTGACACCCTCCATTTGTGATCTGGAGCCAAAAGGTAGGTCCTATATATCTTCTTTGAAAGACCTAGGAGGGAGTCAGGTTTTAAAATGTTACCAACGTTCACTTTTCAGATAGTTGCCTAGTGGTTAAGTCATTCACCCAGGGACAACCAAGTTCTGGTCTTCCAAAGCCTAAGGTCTTTCAGACCCACATCTCCCACTCTCCAGGAACAGGGAGTCCTGGGCTTTTGGGACAAACTTGGATCTTTGTCCAAATTATTGTTTCATGTAAAAAACACAAATAGTCCAGGGATTGGGGACTGGAACCCTGTACTGCTCCCTCCCGGCTGATCCTGCTAACCATTGGACTGCAGTAAAACTCCTCTTGGCCCCTTAAAACTTGCATTCTTGGCAGCACAGTGTCCACAGAAAGTGGATTCTAGTTACAACCTTCTAGGAGGTAAGGAATGTGGTTTTGGCCACTCTCAGATCAACAAAGGGCAAGAACTACAGTGCTGTTCTGCCTAATCAAGTGCCCTGACCACCACTAGGGAATCACAGAAGGCAGGTTTCTCTTCCACCAGCTGTAGTTGTGACTATGTGTGGCTGTGGTCACTGCATTTTGTGCTGAATTTGATGTTGTAAGTGTACACAGAGCAGGTTTAAGGCACATTTGCTGTACCAGGCCCCTGTTGGGAGTTATGCACTTTGTTTCTGGAGCCCAGCTGGCTCTAGATGGGAAATAGGCATCTGGCTGCTTCGACTGGCAGGACAGCAGGTGCTTGTGGAACTTACAGGCCAGCAAGCTGCTCAGGAGGTTTACAGGCTGCTGAAGAGAATCATAATATTGGGCTTAGACTCCTAGGCTAAGTGCACACAGTCAAAAAGCCCACAGCTGAATTGATTCAGTCTTTGCAGGTTAGTCTAAAATGCAGAGATTAAATTGAAATGGAAGTGAACAGACATTTACCTTTGATTCAGCAAATGCGCCCACATGCCTGCAATGGCTCAGGCCAGAAGCTGGGGGAACACTAAAGCACAGCTCGCTGGCATATGGCCAACATGGGCTGTGTATTCACTTCCTCTTCCTGCTGCCCCCAAGGTCTCTGGGATTTGCAGTCCAAAATCACAGCAGCAGGACTCTGTGGGGTTGCTCATCACTTCCTTTTCTTGCTTCCTGGTTCCTCTGGGATTTGTAGTCCACAGTCGCAGCCAGCAGTAAGTTTGAACAGGGGAAGGTCTGTTTAACCCCCCTCCCTGGCCCTAGACCTCAGCCGGAGTTTGCTTGGCAGGCAGTCCTTCCCTTTGCCCCCCCCAGACTGGGCTGCCTCCCCAGCCAGGCTTGTCCCACCCCGCTTTGTCAGCCAGCACTCACTGCTCCAGCTAGGGAGCAGAGGGGCATAGCCAACACTACTGTCATGAGCAGACAGCACAGCCCAACCCAGGGCTGCAAAACATGCTAGGGGACTATGATTTAACTTGAACCAGGAAGGGGGTCTGGGACAGAAGTTCCATAAACCAGTTTGGCCCAAAGCTGTGAAGTCTGATACTACATTCAACCAGGTTTATCTTAAACCAATTTCAGCCATTTTGAAACTGGTTTATGTGCACTGAGCTTTTTTTCTGTTACAGGTTTAAAGCAGTTTCTGATAACTTAAACCAGTTTATGTGTAACCTCTGCCCCTGGCCCTAAAGTCCACCTTGGGAAGAAAAACCCGTAGCATCCTTATAGGCTCGGCAGTGCTATGTTGGCTAGCACTATGGAAGAAAGAAACTTTGGGGTCATCATTGACCACAAGATGAACATGAGCCTGCAGTGCAATGCTTCGGCTAGTAAAGCGACCAAAACGCTGGCTTGC